AGTGAGTGACTCGTCTGGTTTTTTTGCTATTTATCTGAACTTTTTTTAAAATCTTCAACTATTTTGGGTTTAGTCGGCCAAAGATAGCAACCGCACAGAAAAATATAGCAAAGTGAGAGACTCGTCTGGTTTTTTGCTATTTATTTGAACTTTTTGTAAAATCTTCAACTAATTTGGGTTTAGTCGGCCAAATATAGCAACCGCACTGAAAAATATAGCAAAGTGAGAGACTCGTCTGGTTTTTTACTATTTATTTGAACTTTTTTTAAAATCTTCAACTATTTTGGGTTTAGTCAGCCAAATATAGCAACCGCACAGAAAAATATAGCAAAGTGAGAGACTCGTCTGGTTTTTTGCTATTTATTTGAACTTTTTTTAAAATCTTCAACTATTTTGGGTTAAGTCGGCCAAATATAGCAACCGCACAGAAAAATATAGCAAAGTGAGAGACTCGTCTGGTTTTTTGCTATTTATTTGAACTTTTTGTAAAATCTTCAACTATTTTGGGTTTAGTCGGCCAAATATAGCAACCGCACAGAAAAATATAGCAAAGTGAGTGACTCGTCTGGTTTTTTGCTATTTATTTGAACTTTTTTTAAAATCTTCAACTATTTTGGGTTTAGTCGGCCAAATATAGCAACCGCACAGAAAAATATAGCAAAGTGAGTGACTCGTCTGGTTGTTTGCTATTTATTTGAACTTTTTGTAAAATCTTCAACTAATTTGGGTTTAGTCGGCCAAATATAGCAACCGCACAGAATAATATAGCAAAGTGAGTGACTCGTCTGGTTTTTTGCTATTTATTTGAACTTTTTGTAAAATCTTCAACTAATTTGGGTTTAGTCGGCCAAATATAGCAACCGCACAGAAAAATATAGCAAAGTGAGAGACTCGTCTGGTTTTTTGCTATTTATCTGAACTTTTTTTAAAATCTTCAACTATTTTGGGTTTAGTCGGCCAAATATAGCATCCGCACAGAAAAATATAGCAAAGTGAGAGACTCGTCTGGTTTTTTGCTATTTATCTGAAGTTTTTGTAAAATCTTCAACTATTTTGGGTTTAGTCGGCCAAATATAGCAACCGCACAGACAAATATAGCAAAGTGAGAGACTCGTCTGGTTTTTTGCTATTTATTTGAACTTTTTGTAAAATCTTCAACTATTTTGGGTTTAGTCGGCCAAATATAGCAACCGCACAGAAAAATATAGCAAAGTGAGTGACTCGTCTGGTTTTTTGCTATTTATTTGAACTTTTTGTAAAATCTTTAACTAATTTGGGTTTAGTCGGCCAAATATAGCAACCGCACTGAAAAATATAGCAAAGTGAGAGACTCGTCTGGTTTTTTGCTATTTATTTGAACTTTTTTTAAAATCTTCAACTATTTTGGGTTGAGTCGGCCAAATATAGAAACCGCACAGAAATATATAGCAAAGTGAGAGACTCGTCTGGTTTTTTGCTATTTATTTGAACTTTTTTTAAAATCTTCAACTATTTTGGGTTTAGTCGGCCAAATATAGCAACCGCACAGAAAAATATAGCAAAGTGAGAGACTCGTCTGGTTTTTTGCTATTTATTTGAACTTTTTTTAAAATCTTCAACTATTTTGGGTTTAGTCGGCCAAATATAGCAACCGCACAGAAAAATATAGCAAAGTGAGTGACTCGTCTGGTTTTTTGCTATTTATTTGAACTTTTTGTAAAATCTTCAACTAATTTGGGTTTAGTCGGCCAAATATAGCAACCGCACAGAAAAATATAGCAAAGTGAGTGACTCGTCTGGTTTTTTGCTATTTATTTGAACTTTTTGTAAAATCTTCAACTATTTTGGGTTTAGTCGGCCAAATATAGCAACCGCACAGAAAAATATAGCAAAGTGAGTGACTCGTCTGGTTTTTTGCTATTTATTTGAACTTTTTTTAAAATCTTCAACTATTGTGGGTTTAGTCGGCCAAATATAGCAACCGCACAGAAATATATAGCAAAGTGAGAGACTCGTCTGGTTTTTTGCTATTTATTTGAACTTTTTGTAAAATCTTCAACTAATTTGGGTTTAGTCGGCCAAATATAGCAACCGCACTGAAAAATATAGCAAAGTGAGAGACTCGTCTGGTTTTTTGCTATTTATTTGAACTTTTTTTAAAATCTTCAACTATTTTGGGTTTAGTCAGCCAAATATAGCAACCGCACAGAAATATATAGCAAAGTGAGAGACTCGTCTGGTTTTTTGCTATTTATTTGAACTTTTTTTAAAATCTTCAACTATTTTGGGTTTAGTCGGCCAAATATAGCAACCGCACAGAAAAATATAGCAAAGTGAGAGACTCGTCTGGTTTTTTGCTATTTATTTGAACTTTTTTTAAAATCTTCAACTATTTTGGGTTTAGTCGGCCAAATATAGCAACCGCACAGAAAAATATAGCAAAGTGAGAGACTCGTCTGGTTTTTTGCTATTTATTTGATCTTTTTGTAAAATCTTCAACTAATTTGGGTTTAGTCGATAAATTTGAAAATGGCCCGCTCAAAAGAAAACTTCGTCTCTTTCTCGTGTAATATTTGCTCAGTTCTATGCAGCTGTAGTTGATAAATTTGAAAATGGCCCGCTCAAAAGAAAACTTCGTCTCTTTCTCGTGTAATATTTGCTCAGTTCTATGCAGCTGTAGTTGATAAATTTGAAAATGGCCCGCTCAAAAGAAAACTTCGTCTCTTTCTCGTGTAATATTTGCTCAGTTCTATGCAGCTGTAGTTGATAAATTTGAAAATGGCCCGCTCCAAAGAAAACTTCGTCTCTTTCTCGTGTAATATTTGCTCAGTTCTATGCAGCTGTAGTTGATAAATTTGAAAATGGCCCGCTCAAAAGAAAACTTCGTCTCTTTCTCGTGTAATATTTGCTCAGTTCTATGCAGCTGTAGTTGATAAATTTGAAAATGGCCCGCTCAAAAGAAAACTTCGTCTCTTTCTCGTGTAATATTTGCTCAGTTCTATGCAGCTGTAGTTGATAAATTTGAAAATGGCCCGCTCCAAAGAAAACTTCGTCTCTTTCTCGTGTAATATTTGCTCAATTCTATGCAGCTGTAGTTGATAAATTTGAAAATTGCCCGCTCAAAAGAAAACTTAGTCTCTTTCTCGTGTAATATTTGCTCAGTTCTATGCAGCTGTAGTTGATAAATTTGAAAATGGCCCGCTCAAAAGAAAACTTCGTCTCTTTCTCGTGTAATATTTGCTCAGTTCTATGCAGCTGTAGTTGTTAAATTTGAAAATGGCCCGCTCAAAAGAAAACTTCGTCTCTTTCTCGTGTAATATTTGCTCAGTTCTATGCAGCTATAGTTGATAAATTTGAAAATGGCCCGCTCAAAAGAAAACTTCGTCTCTTTCTCGTGTAATATTTGCTCAGTTCTATGCAGCTGTAGTTGATAAATTTGAAAATGGCCCGCTCAAAAGAAAACTTCGTCTCTTTCTCGTGTAATATTTGCTCAGTTCTATGCAGCTATAGTTGATAAATTTGAAAATGGCCCGCTCCAAAGAAAACTTCGTCTCTTTCTCGTGTAATATTTGCTCAGTTCTATGCAGCTATAGTTGATAAATTTGAAAATGGCCCGCTCAAAAGAAAACTTCGTCTCTTTCTCGTGTAATATTTGCTCAGTTCTATGCAGCTATGGTTGATAAATTTGAAAATGGCCCGCTCCAATGAAAACTTCGTCTCTTTCTCGTGTAATATTTGTGAAGTATTACCCTATGTAAGCTTAGTAACAACATGGTATATTTGTGCAATTTTTTCGAAATTTTTATTTCATATTATACTTTTTTACTTTTGCTAAAATTATGTAGATTTGAAAAAAAAAAATACTGAAAATCACTTTAACTGAAGTATAGACTTGGAAGAAAAAACCTTTGAAAATTTCTAAATAACCGCTGAAATAAAACTTAGACCATGAACATTGAGAATCAAACAAATGCTGAGAAAAAAGCTTTCATTACACGCAAAGCATCACTTTATCATCCTCTTCCTCTCGGTTTATTTGCTACTTTTGCCTAGCGACTATTGAAATCACTCATGCTATGATCTTTGGTGCTTCTGTTTTGTATAAATAAGTTGTGTTGAGTTGAACAGCTCTGATGTAGTTCTTGACTAAGACTGGTGAGCGTTCTTGGGCACAATTTAGGATAAGTGCCGCTGTGTCGCATTCATCCATTCCCCCTTTGTTCAAATTTAAAAATTTTACATATATATATTTATTAACTTCATCAAAATTTACTCTGGGTTCCACATTCATCTATGATCCCGAAATTAGTCTGCATTAAATCAAGGTTTGCGCCATATATAGCCTCAGCAACGGATAATAGTTGTTCATCGTTGACTTCACCGTTCACCATCTTACATAAAATTTGTTACAATAAATTTAGTGTTATTTTTTTCAACTCACATATCCACTATTTTCTGCCAGGCATTTTAAGAAGCACTGAAAACAATTGCCAAAGTATGAAGAAAAAATTAAAATCATGTATTCTAAAAATTACTTGATATCTTCTAATGAAACACATTAATACAAAAATAAATATTTTTAAAAAGTAAAATAATTCTAAATTTATATTTCAAAGGTTTTAATTAGCATTTTGAAAAAACCCAATATCCATGAATGTCCAAAACAACGAAAATTTGAGATACGAGTACAAAACTTATAATTAAATTAAATCAAAATTCAAAAAACAATTTCCAATTTTAAAAGTCTTTCTACTCAAAATTTAAATCATCAATAATAATTAATCAAAGAAATAATAATAAAACTTATAAATTTATACAGTAAAATGTCTTAAAATTAAAACTGTTGAAATAATTTATATTAAATTAATTTTTCATTATAGTTAATTTTTTCATAATTCCTTACTTTTACTTGAAGCGTCAAAGTCCTAGTGTTATTCAGTATTTTGAATGCCTCCTCTTAAAAGTAAATTTTAAAATATTTTTTTACCAAACATGAGTTTTCATTTTGAATTTTTTCGTACCTTCAGTAATATTGTAGAGTGCTCGGCATTCTTCGACAATTGCCTCTCCGTTTGTGGTGTTCAAATTTACGTTTCTGGCTTCGCAAATATAATTCATCCTCTGTGTGCAATCTAAGTCCAAAAGCAAGGCAGAAGTTTTGTTCAGATTAACTGCAAGGCAATGTTCCGATTTCCCTGCGTTGTTTGGCTCTCCTGGTGCCCACAGCGTCCCCTTTTGTTGCACCAATTTGTTGACCGCGCACCACCCAAAATTGCCCTCGCAACTCAAATCCGAGCCTGAAGTCCAGTAAAGCCCTGGTGAAGCCAGTTTTGTCGTTCCGTTGACCTGAATGGGATCTTTTAAATATTATGTTTTAATTTAATTCTGTTTTACAACAATTTATTTTTTGTTTTTTACTATTGAAGGCAAGAATCAGGTTGTTGTATTCAAGGTTGAAGTCGATACTTAAAAGTTTCATTCCTATGGCAAAACATTTGTACAGCGCATCTTCCCACTTCAGATGAAACACATAGAAAAGAAATTAGTAAAATATCTTAACAAGTTAAAAAATCCTTAAAATTATTTGTCTGTAGAATTTGTAAAAAAAAAATGTGTAGCTAAAAAAGGGCATTAAAATTTAGTATTACTTTTGCTTTAAATCGACTTGATCTTTTAACTTTTTTAAATAAAAATGAAAAAAATCAAGCTTTTGAAGCAGAAAAATTTTGATTTTTCCCTATTGGAGTGGAAAATTTTCACCAGCGATTGGTTTTAATATATTTTCTCAGTAAAATAAAATAAACATTTGTTCAAACCGGCAACATCTCTGTGCTCATCAAATACGTCCTTCCATTTACAGTGTTCCACATCCCAAGAGATGACTTATCTGAAAATTAATTTTCAAACATTGGGTGTTTATATCCAGAAAGTTAAGAAAAAAAAATACTTTGCAGCCCCAATGCACTCTTATTGGCTACTTGTGCAGCGATGTTAGCCTTTAAAAAAAAAATAATAATAATTATCTGAAGACTGAAGGTAAAATTCCTCATACATATTTTGCAGTTTCAAATGAAGGGCACACGGGCTTGAAGCAATCTTGGAAATTAGTGGGAGCGGGCGTCGCTTTTCCCTTTAAAAGATTTTGTCTTTAAATTATTTATTATTTTATATCACATTGGAACTTCACTTTGCAAGCGACGAAAAATAAGCTGGAGCAATTTTTGCTTGTTAAAAGAAACCCGGTGGCGGCCTTGCTCATATGGACGCAACTCGTCGTCAGATTCAGATTTTGGGGCTCCGTAGCTGCCCACAAAGTCAAGTTTCCAAGAGTGGCAAAGGACGTGTTGAAAGTCGCATTATTCTGCGCCCACAGAAAAGTCTTTTTAACCCTGTAACCATCGGTCCAAAAATTAAGTCGGCTTTTCCAGCCGCCTGGAAGACCAAAATTGTTAGACTATTTTGATTTAATTTACAAAAGTAGCAACTTTTAGTGGAGTTATTAAGGCATTTAAGTTTCACACTGTTTTCAATTGAAATTGGGACCATTCCTAGCTGGCAGCAAAATTGCTTATTTGTATTCCAATCCCCCTGAAAATTATAAAATTAAATACTAGATTTCTGCGATTTCGACATATTTTTTCTTACAACTGTTTTTCCAAAGACGTATAAATCTCCACACATATTAATCCAAGTTCCATACTTTTCAGGATCTATAAGAGATCAATAAATATTTTTAATCAGGGTCTGTAGATTTTTCAACGTATTATATACATTTGAGGTCTCCTCCGTTCGAAGCATACAATGAGCTCTAAATTTAAGAAATTATTTAAAGTTATTGGTATTTGCGAACTATCATAAGATAAAAGAAATAACGTTTTTCGTGCAGTCAAAATGAGATTTTGAGGTCACGGTTTTTGTTGTAATTTTTGTGCTGCTAGTTGAAGAGCTGGAGGCTTGAACGGTTGTAGGATTTGTTACTACTGAATTTTGGGTGATTAATTTTGAGTTGGCAGTCGTTGGTTTAGTTGCATCTGAAGACGTTGCGCCTGATAAAAGCGTCGTAGAGGTCATTGCACTCAAGGTTATGGAGTTGATAGTCGTCGTTTTGGGAGTATCTAAAGTTTTAAGTTCTTCTAAACCACTATTAGCAGGCGAGAGCGTTGAAGAGTTAATTAAAATTGAATCTAATTTTTGAGAGACATCAATCCCAAGGGTAGTTGCATCTGCAGGCGATGTAATTTCAGAGATTGAAATTTGCGTCTCTTGGAAAACTTTTGATGTTTGTTCTACTGATTGGCTAGATGGATTTATTTCAGGTCCGACTAATAAAGTTGTTATATCTTCTGAAATGACTGAAGTTGAAGGATCTTCCGAAGTTGAAACTTGGTTTAAAATTGTTGTATCTTCTGTTGGCACTTCAGATGCAGCTGCATCACTTGAAAGTTTAATTGTTTCTCTATTGTTTGATGTCAAAGCCGCAGAGAAATCAGGTTTCTGTCAAAGATTATATTTATTTTTTAATTAAAACTTTTAAAATAAATTTTTACAATGGAAGTAAATTCTTTAGATTTGTTGAATGATCGCGAACAAATAGCTTGGCCACAGCATTTGACAATAATAGTTCTGCGGGCGTTTTGCGGATTCTCTGAAAATATTTATCTATTAAATACAACCAAAAAGTTTCAAGAATTCTCTGAACTGAAGTTTTTCAGCGAAATTTTCCTCTTAGTATTTCCAAAGTTTACGTGCAACTGGATCGAGATGGCTAAATCCTTATCAAGCAGGTTATTTAATAAAAGAATAAAAAATTGCGTTTGAAGAAGATATTTACCAATAAAAGGAGCACTAGCAAGAAATGACAAAATTTGCAGCGTATCAATATCATCGTGATGATGCATTGAAAGCCACATCAATTTCCTGGACAAAATTCAGCTCTGTTGTGTGTATTTGTTTTGCACTTCCAGTTTACAATCGATTTCCCGAATACATTCCAATGTTTGTTTTGCAGGTCTTTATTGTTGTTAGTGTTCGACTCTGCTTCCGTCATTGTGATTTATCGGAATCAATAAAAGTCGTCAAACTTTCCATGATACTTGGAATTTTTAAATAGTTAGAAAATGCGCAACGATGACGGATCCTCTTTAAAAAATTTTATGCTATCCGCATTGCCTTGGAGCATGACAGGTTGCATAAAACAAATTGGTTCCTAAATAAAAAATGTACATTTAATTTAATTCAATCTAATATTCTTATTACCTTTTCCCCCAGAATTTCCGTAGCTGCGGTATTGAACAATAATTTATAAAATGAATTAATTAGGTGAATTATTATCTTTATTTTTATTCCATGTTGCCAAATGAACTTTCTTTGCCGGAAAACAACTAATTAATCACAATTTTAATGATTGGAAAAATTAAACTTGATATTCAATCAAAAATATAACGTTATGGCTTTCTTTCTCCAATAAAAATCCGCTTGTTTCATTAATGAATTTTATTTGTGTTTTTCTACAGAAATAGCTTTCTATATACAACAGAGTCATGACAATAGAGCCATAAAAGTTTCTTCATAAAATACACATTTATGTCACATTTACACGTTGTAAAAGATAAAATTATTAAAATCGGCCCAGTGTGCGGGCTGGAAGATCAAGATCAGTTTGTCACAAAACCATCAATAGAAAAATTACATGAGTAGGCATCAGTATTTCTCTGTTTATAATAGATTTTTTACTCATAAATATACACACAACCTCGCAGCATAATTAATTAATTTGATAACAACAACGGAATGGCACACGACGTAATATTGAAATTGTTGAGAATGTTAAAATTCGTTGGTCGTTAAAATTTCCTTTCTCCAAAACATTTTTGACACATCATATATAAAATATTTTTTGTGAATGTCACGATTTCAGATCAAAGCGTTTTACTTTGGAAAATATTCATTCACTGTGTTATTTTAAGTAGCCTGATCGGACTGAAGTAGCAACAAATTTCTTAGTATTGCTTGGAGGAGAGTAACACTTTTATTTTGTACGTTGAAAATTGCGGGAATTTTCTTGATCGCGCTTTTAATGAATTAATTTGTCTTGGAAATTAAGGTGTCGAAGCGCGATTATTACCAAAGACTAATACAAAAATTACGATGATTTCTATCAGTATCACAGACTACCTGTTCATGGCACTTAATTAAATTTTTTTTCTTTTGTTACACGCCATGATCAAGATTATTTATCAAACGATCTTTGAAGTCATATATAAAATTAACAAATTTGGCCCCGGACGGCTCGCGGAGAGGCCGAAACACCACTTCTTCATTCAGTTAATATAATTCCGCAACAAGACTTGCACTTTTTTTTATAAATTCCCTAACAAAAACTCCACAAGTCTCACTGGAGAACACGCTCACTTTCGTGGGTCCGTTTTTAAGATTACCATAAAGAATCCTCTCAATTCAAAACACTCAATATAAACACTTGTGGTCCCTTCGGAAAATTAAGTCACAGGCACAATCAAGTGGTCTCTGTCCACAACTCAGACGGTCGTTTCGTTGCGTCTGAGCGGCTTGAGCGGCTGCAGTTCCCTCTGCAGCCGGTCGAAGTCGTTGTAGTACTCGTGGTCCGACTCCTCCTCGGATGAGCGCTGAGTCGTCATGTACCTTGGAAGGCCGCCGTTGGGCGCCACAATCGGCAGGCCGACGCAGTTGGCGTCCGAGATGGGAGGTCTGGCGATGCCTGCAGGAGGTGCGGCTTGACCGATGATGTACTCAGGATTGTCCACGCTGGTGATTGTCTTTCCCGCCATCGGGTTGAAGTCCGGACAGTTGGTGTAAATCACATTTTCTGTGAAATTATATTGAAATCAGTAAAATTGAACCAGATTTGGGGAATTGCCAATTCTCACCAGGCATTTTGGATCCGTCCAGAATGTCCATGTAGGCCTGATTGCCTGAAGCCACGGCTACAGACGCCTGAGGTGGTTGAGGCATGAGGTAGTCGTCCTCGTCGAGGGGCAAGTCCAGCGTCAAATTTGTGCCGATTTGTGCTTGGCGGCTCATTGACATGGCAGAGTCAAAGCAGTCATCTGCAAATTAAAAATAGAAGCAATTTTTAATTAACTGTTTTAAATATATTTTATAATTATACATTTTTGTTAAAAGTTTAAATATTTTCCAATTTTAAATTAAATGTTTTTTTAGTTAATTTAAAAAAATTTCCACTTTATTATTCTTCAGCTTACCTTTATCAGACATCTTCATGGGGTCAGTGCAGTATTTGCTCTGGTCAGTGGTTTCCGAGCCCATCAGGCTGGGTGGTATGTGGTGCCTGCTGGGGTAACTGAGCTGACTTCCGCCGTACCTCAGGGCGTCCCAGTTGGGCGGAATGGGCGACTCGGCCACCATGGAGGCCGCGCCGCCGACCACACTTCCGGCGACAGACCACTTCTTAGTGGGGGTGTTGGGAGGGGAGGAGCCGCTGCCAACGGACATTGTGGACGAGGTCGAGTTGGGCACGATGCCCCTCGAGTGACTCGGCTGCAGGTACTCTTCGGCGTCAACGACCGCTTCAGAGCCGCCGATGGCCGAGGAAAGGCTCTGGATCATTTCTCGCTGGTCTTGCGGCGAGAAGGATGGAAGGCGCATCAACTTGTCACCCTGAATGACTAAATACCTGCGAAGAAAAATATTAAATCAATTTATTAATTTGAAGAATATTGCATATTAAATTAAAATTCTTGAAAAATTAAATTTAGCCTCAGGAAGTTTTAAGATAAAAATCAGTCACTTTTCTTGATTCTGAATTCAATGGTTGATTATTCTGATAAATTACTATTTATTCTTAACAATTAATTGAAGCAGAGCATTCAAACAATTTCATATAAATTTTATAATTTGAGATTTTTACCTTCCAGGGTCTCGGCTCATTTTGGCAAATTCGTCGGCAAGCTCTTTGAAGGCTGGCCTGCTGTCCGCGTCGATCATCCAACACTTGATCATGATCATGTAGACGTCGATGGTGCAGATGCTGGGTTGGCTCAGTCTCTCGCCCTTTTCCAAGATGTCCGGCACGTCCCTGGCCGAGACGTGCTCGTACGGTCGGCCTCCGTAGGTGAAGAGTTCCCACACAGTGACTCCGAAAGCCCAGACGTCACTCTTGTGCGTGAAGATCCTGTGCTGGATGCACTCCAGGGCCAACCACTTGATGGGCATTTTGCCTCCAGCGGCCTTGTACTCGTCTTCGTTGATGTCCAGCAGCTTGGCCAGACCGAAGTCAGTGATTTTAACACAGTTAGGCGTCTGAACAAGAACGTTCCTGGCTGCCAGGTCGCGGTGCACAAGGCGCTTCTCCTCCAAATAAGCCATTCCTGCAAATCATCAATGGAAAATTAGCATTTTAGGAATATTTTAATTTAAAAAAAGAAAACAAGTTGGAAAAATTTATAAATTTTTTTTGAAATTTTTGAACTAGAAACTCCCAAATTACATTAAAATACGCATTTTATCAGACAATTGGGGAATTCAATCACTTTTTAAGTTTGCGTTTTGGTTAATAAAAATAAAATTATACCTTTGGCAATTTGAGTGCACCAGTTGAGCAGAGGCTTGGAGCCAATCTTGTCCTTGTTCTTTCTAACGTAGTCCAAAAGACAGCCCAGAGGCATCAATTGGGTGACCAGCATCATCTGGGAGGTCATGCACACGCCCAGAAGCTTCAACAGGTTCGGGTGCTCAACACTGGCCATGATGTAGGCTTCGTCGAGGAATTCCTTGGTGCTGTTGCCGGCACCCTCGCGCAACACCTTGATCGCCACAGGTACTTTCACATTTTCACCAGCGGGAATCCAGACACCCTGGAGAAGAAAAAAAATTAGTGAATATTTTCGGATAAAATTTAATTTTTATTATTTGGCCACTTTGATAAAAATATTTTTTTTTTTCAAATTACCTTGTAGACGGTGCCAAAAGCTCCGAAGCCCATGACGCCACCCTGCCTCATCTCCGCCTCCTTGATGATCCTCAGCTTGGCCAGGTTGGGTTTGACATTGGTCGGTCTGAGAGGCTCATTGTCTTCCCGATCGATTCCAGCCAACACCCGTGTCATCTTGACGGCGTTTTCCTTGTTCAGGACCTTGTTCTGCCAGTGGTAGATGAAAATTCCAGCGACAACAATGAGCAGCAGAACGCAAACCGTGACTGCAGCCACGACCGCAGTGAAACTGTCAGTTGACCCCCTGATAAAATAAAAGGTAGAAAATTAGTCTCGCAAAAATGTAAAATAAAAAGTATAAAAATTCATAAATCGCTTTATTTTGTAATATTTTGTTCTCATTTAAATCTTTAATTTTTAAGAAATGAGAGAATACTTACATTTGCAAGGTCGTCTGCAGAGCTTCAACAGAGCAGTAAGGGTCTCCGGACGGTGGGAAGATCTTATGTGGGATGTTGTCCGGGCAGTTGCTGGTGCAGTTGAAAGCTGTGGTGTTGTCACCATTCACACCGTCTTGGTAGATCCTGTAGTTGCGGCAGCTGAAGCAGTCACTGCTTTTTGGTCCTCGACAACCTCTGCACTCCAAAGAGCACTGGACGCATTCCTGAGTGACGTTGTCGACAAAGTGGTCCGTCGGGCATTCGTCCTCACACTGCTCACCTCTCTTGTACTTGGTGCATTCTTGGCAAACCTGAAGCAAAGTTAATTAATTTATATGCCAATTTAATAAGTTTTTTTTTTACACACCTGAACGTGAAAACCAAAACCAGTGCACTTCTTGCATCTAGGGTGGCACCTTCTGCAGATGGCCTTTCCGGCCAAGGGCTTGAGAGGACCCTGTTCTTGAGGTCCGACCCATTCGTAAAAGTAGCCTTCGGGACAAGACTCGTTTTTGTGCAGGCAACTCTCCACATTGACATCTCCTATGATGGCCTTTTCGCAGGAGACGCATCCATTCTTGCCTATTGTGTTTTCGGGCCCATCGCAGCCGTACACGCAGTTGGCGTGACACTCTTTGCACTCATTGCTCGGCGAGATGTACTTGCTGTCTGGACATGACTGGGTGCAGAATGGACCATCACGGACGTTCTTGCAACGGGTGCAGTTTCCTGGACCCGGACCATTGCAAGTGTCCTGACACTCGGGATGGCAGAGTTTGCAGATTTTGGAGTTGTCTTTGTAAATCCTAATTATTGAAAAAAAGCATGTTTAGATTTATTCAAATATTTCAGATTGATAACTCACCCTTGAATTGATTCACAGTCGTGAATGCACTTGCTTCCCATTTGGTAATTGGCACAAGATAAGCAATTTTCGTTGCCTGGACCCCAGCATCCATCCTTGGAACATTCTTTGTCACAAACTAGGCCTTCCCTCTCTATAAATGAATAAGAATTGAGATGAGAAAAATGTTCTGAATTTAATAAACTTTTAACCTACCACAAGCTTTTGGGTCTTTGTTGTTGGAATGGAGGATTTCGTGTTCAACCGATTTCTTTATGGACTGCCAATTGATGCCGTCGGCGAAACACAAGTCTCTATTTTCGATGATGGAAACGGCGCCAGAAGAAACCTTCTTCAGGGACCTCAAGCCCAATGACTTGAGTGAAGTCTTGACAATGTACAACGCAGCAAACATTTCAGTCAGTGTGCGACCGCCAATGTACTCCAGATTTCTATACAAAATAATAAATAAATTAATAAATATTTCAATAATTGAATTAAAATAAACTTTTTACCTAAAGTATGAGAGATTGGTAAAAGATTCATGGAACGCCTGGATATTCATGTATCCAGTGATTTCCTTCAGGGTGCTGAAGACCTCCAGTCGGTCAGGGTGCATTCCCGCGTAGCGCTTGCCGAAGGTGAAGTTGTCGTAAATGTGCTGATACCCTGAGAAGGTGTGATCCAAGATGGTCAGAGAGCCTTCGATGACGGTGCAGTCTTTGAAAGTGTCAATGTTGCCTGAGTGGACAGAAATGTCACCCTGACAGGTTTTGGGGCAGGGTCCGTCGCAAGGGACGCACTCGCCATTGACGGCCTTCTTGTTCAACGGACAGGATCGAACGCAGGCGCCGTTGTCCTTCAGAAGGTGCTCAGGGCAGTTCTTGACACAGGTGGCTCCGTAGGCGTACTTTCCGGCAGGGTTTGTCACCCACGAGTAGGTTATGGAATCGTAACGTTGCATGGCCGGGCACTCCTGCTTGCAGGTGCCTTCGTCATAAAAATTGCGGCAAGCCTAGAATAAAATTTTTACAGTAAAAAATTTGTTTCATTTTGTCAAAATAATATTAAAATTATAGTTACAAAATTAATTTCTTTTATAATAACAATACAAATTTGTTTCATTTTGGAAACATCATGGCAAATTAAAATCTTCTTTTAAATTAATTTTGATTAAACTTACGAGACAATCGCTCTGCTTCGGTCCAAGACAACCTCCGGCGCAGAAAAGATGGCAACACTCCCTGGGTTTGGGCCCGAAACACCTGCCCTGGTGGCACTGAGGGCTGCAGTTGATCTTGGAGAAGCGTTGGCAGTTTTCCGGTCCTTCACCCCAGCATCCAGCTTCGCAGCTTTCGTGGCACGGGGCGCATTTGCGTTCGGGGCTCGGGAAGTCGTAGGCGTAGACGTAGCGGGCGTTCGGGCCGGTGATGATCTCGTCCCAGTTGATCGTCTTGATGTGACACAGGTTGTAGTTGTTCAACATGCCCACACTGCCGGCCAGGATGTCTGAGACAAAGTGAGAGATTTCTTTACTTGAAAATCATGCCAATCTTACAAAATAAATTATTTCTACAAGTTGAAAGAGTTTTAAATTACAAAAGAATTGTCTTTTTTAGTAATTTGAAAGTATTTCAAGATAATTTCAGATCAAAATTGTTTATTACCTCTAAGGGCGGGCAATTCCAGGTTGTGCATCTTGGACAGGGTGGTGAGCAGCGCAAACTCGTCGTCGTGGACGTTCAGCTTGAACAGCGTCCGCCCGCGGATGATTTGCAGACTGGGCAGGACGATGCGTTTGATGTCGACGTGCGAGATCAACACGTAGCCGGTCACTTCGCGGATCAGGCTGAGGAAACTCAGGTCGAGGTCCTCGTCCTGCAGCCAGGTCAGTTCCAGGTTGCCGTCCACGTATGTGCAGTTCGTGTACCGGTCGCGCAAATTGCGGTAATGGTGCTCTCGATTCGAGGGCACCGACATTCTTCCATTCGTTCCAATACAAACTGCAAACACAAAATTAATTTCATTTTAGTCAAATAATTAATTTTTTGCTAAATTTTTTGATATTTTTAATAAAAATCCAAAATAATTGCACCACTGTTCTAATTACATTATTTTTTTTTTATCATCGACGAATAGAAAATATTTTTTGTTGATTTCAGTTCTCGTTACGCAATTAGTTGTTTTCCCATAAACTGCGATCCATTGGAATGCGGTGCAGGGGAATTACTTATCCACGCATTCAATTTGATAAAAAGGAATCGCCGGTGGCGCTACAGCCGTATTATGCACGCCGTTTATTTTTATTCCAAGCTCGCATGCACTCGAGGCAAAATATTTATAAAATCAAGCAGCACAGGTGAGCCGACTATCCACCTGTGTGCACGTGATTCTCGGAAAATGTGAGCTTTGCCTTCTCCATTAGCATGGAGCAATCTCATGACGTGCTACATTTCAGCCGCGGCACTTGGCCATTATTCATGCGTTCTTTCTTTCTTTCTTTCTCACTACATCTCTCTCTACACGGAGAGCAGTGTGTGTTTATCTCTTGGGAAACTACAGCAGCGACAATTTTCCTTGTACAAGAAAAAAACAAACTCGAAACGAAAATGTCAAGAGATGTGTTGAGCTCCGAGATTGCAATGAGCGGTTTTCCTCCGCTGTACCGCGAACAGGAAGAAAAAAGCCTCGAGGCCTGCGCGTACGTGAAAGTTCGCACTCTTATCTCTCCGAGTAAACAGAACGTTCTATTATTTTTATAGCTTTTTTTGCAATGTACAAAGAAAAGAAACCTTTGTTTGCATTCCTTTGAAAATAACTAGACTCGCGAATTTTAGCTTTCTTTGGACGTCCAGAAATTTGAAATGAGTCTAAAAAACAAATTTAATTAAAAACTTAATCAGAAAATTCGATGAAAGGCAAAGTTTTCAGTTTTCATAATGAAATCTAAAAAAAGCAACTGAATTTAAAAATGCGTATGTATTTGAAATATCTGAGATTTTTTCAAATATTCCAAATTAAAATTAAGAAATTGATGTAACTTTTGGCAATTCAAGGATTCTAAATTAATAAATGGATCAACAAACTTTATAATAAGAAATTAGTACTTTTGACTAATTTTTATCACTTTAAATTTCAATTCAGCTGATCTTATGCCAATTAAAATTAAATAATTCAATTTGGAAAAAAACTAGTTGCATTACGAAAAAATAATGAGAGTAAATTAGTAAGTATTAGTTAGTATTTTAAATTTTAAATTTCAATAATTTTATTCAGATCTGTTTTTCTTGCTCTGGCCACTAGAAAATTCTGCTTAAACAAAAATTTATAGATTTTATTTATAGATTTGTGTAAACACTTCATAACCTATGTGGCAAAATTTGCATTTTATTCTCCGCATGAATATATGAAAATCAACAAAACGCAGTCTTTCGGTCCAAACAGAATTATAATTTCGGAGCCGCCAAACAACCTTGGTCTCCGAAAGTCGTCACTCATTTGATTCGATCGTCATAAATTTCGAATTCCTCCGATTTCCCACATTAAACCTCAGCGCCCGGTGGACGCATAAAAACTTTTTATTATCAATTAATGAGCGATTAAGCGTCGCGGCACCTTAATAAAAACTAAAAACCCTCTTATTCCGCCGGATTATCAGAAGAGAGTGACAAAGCGTAAAAGCCGAAATGAATTCGGTCTCGACGAGAGATGAGTCGCCGAAATTTTTTAGAAAACACGGCGCAAATATTTGTCCGCGCGGCTCACCTGCGCCGAAAATACACAAACAGAGCAGAGACGAGAAAAATGCCACGATTCAATATTTGCACTTGGCCGTATTTAAATTAATTGCAGGGACCTATACGTACTCGTGCATGAATTTTTATCCTTGGCGAGTCTCGAAGTGGACGAGTTGGGCTCCATTCATGCATACTCACACAAAGGTGTGGCCCAATAAGAGCGCGTCAATGACACTCTCAATGCTTTTACCCGCGCATTTTTATTGCCCGATGCGCAAAAAATATAAATCGGCGGCGGACCTCTTAATCCATTATTGCTCTTTTTCAAGTATTCCATTAAACGCCATGTTTTTCTGATAAACCGAAATAATAATTTATTTTTCGCCGGGACCTTTTTCTTCTCCGCAGCCAGAGAGAGAAAGAAAAGAAGGGTTCTTACGTGGGAATGGACGAGTACACGGTTATAAATCATGCAGTGCCTCGGCTCATTGATATGAAAGATCGAAATGAGAACTTCGGTTTAAAGCGTTTTGCAAGAAGGCTGGTGAGTGAGTGGCGAAATGAAATCGTTCGACAAAGTGTTTAACAGGGGCACCACACTGCGCGTAAATGATTTTTCATGTTCCAATATGAGAGATAATAAAAATAGGGTACTAAGTCTCACCCAGGAATGACTTTATTTATATTTAAATTTATTGCAAATTTCAAATTGACTCAAGTGGCAAAGTCTCATTTTTTAGAACTAAAAGAAAAAATTAAAACATTTCTTCTTAAATAATAAATTACTCACTATAAAGTAAAAGTAATACCAATGTTAAAATAATTTAAAAAATGAACATAAAATTTTACATAATAGTTTAAGTCTCGAATAGATTATAAATTATTTAGCAAAATTAAAAACAAAAGTCTCTTTTCGTACAGACTTTACATAATTTACATAAAATATCTTACTTAAAATTTATTACATTATTAGCCTTGGATTGATTGAGGAAATATTTATTTCAATTTCCGATAAGTCCGCGAATTTTAATTGTGATTTGAATGGCTGGACGCAAAGAGCAATAAAAGTGGCCGCGGCGAGTCGCACACAAGAAGTTGTACTTGGAGGAGCGCGAGTGGCCGTTTGAGGTCGTCATCATCATCTCGCATTTAGCAGATTATAATTCGCCGCACTAAAAGCACATTCTAATTTATTGTGACTTATCTCCGCGGCTGCTTTTAAATTTTGAGAGAGAGGAAAAAGTCGATATAAAAAAAAAATATACATTTTAATTTTCCAGCACAGCTTAAAGCAATATTTGCAATAATCCGACCAAAGGTTGAGACGATCGGATGGAGATTTCGTAACAATGGATAAAAAAATTTATATATATGAAAGGAGCACCATAATTTCGACGCTGCAATTTTGCTCTCGTTCTCGAGACGCACGAGATAATGACCAGCATCGCATTCTTGCAACTCCATTCTATTGCAAAAATTTTTATTTCGCTGCTGACGAACAAACGGCGGCATTCCGTCGCTCGAGAAGAATCCGAAGGTCTTGCTCGGCCGCCAAAACTAATGGCCGGCGACGTTTAGTACATAAATTTTTTTCCTAAAATTTTTGTCCTTTCCACTTTTGGGTGGCCGTCAATTTCCGATAAAATCGAGAGAAATTGTCATATCCCGGAATATGCATAAGAATATATATCAAGTTTGCGGTCTCGTGAAAATGAATACAAAAAAAGCCTTTGTTGCTTGGCCGCAGCAGAGCAAAGCAGGGATCTTATCTGCGCCCCGAGAGAAATTATTCGAGAACCGCACAAAAAATGTCACGCCGCCGAGAGAAAAAAGCGGCGAGGTGCTTAGGCCGGGCTGTCCGGTTGACAAGCAGTTGCCGGCCTGTCACATTTGAGACGCAATCAAGTTGCCAGCCGACTCGGAGAATAATCTGACATATTGTCATTCTGGATGCTGCGATATCGGATAATGAAATTATTTATTTCAAACCTGCTGAACGCACTTTGCTCCGTTTCAAAATAAATAAATAAATAAATGAGAGAGGAGGAGAAAGAAGAAGAAAAAGAGGACGCGCCCGACCGCGAAAGAACGCAACCTGCTGGATCAAAATTCCAGGGCAGTCGCTGGAAAACGCTCAGTCGACAGTGTCGCGCGTTCAGAACTGAAAGTGCGTGTTATTATTAAGTGCATGCGAGGATCAAATGTTCATTCCACTTTGACAGCTCGAAAGATCTCCGGAATTTTAAAAATCAACTTTCCAGATCAATAACTAAATCGGTTGAAAAATAAATTAATTTTATAGATCAAGCTTTTAAAATTTTTAGATATATCAAATTTTTTTTTATATAATTTTGATTTACAAAAACAATAGAGTAATTTTTTGTGATTAAAGATAAAATATTATGTAATATTACAGTATAAAATAAAATATTTTTCATTTTGTCACAAATTTCTTATTTTAAAAATTAAATTTGAAAAGAAAAACGACAATATTGTTATTTATAAGTAAACAACATAGGCAAAATACTTATATAATCCAGGCAAAAATCGTTTATATATATTTTCCACTGAAAATTCTTGGTAGTAAAAATTCGGTTAAAGTTTGGCTTTACGACAAAGCCTAATTTAAAAAATAATTATTTTATGTTAATCTTGAGTCAGAACTGCATTAATATTTAAACATTTTGAATAAATTAAAATATATCGAATGTAATGTTTATTAAATTTCACAACAGAAATTGAAGACCATCTTAAAAAATAAAATACAAATTTAAATCCAAAACTTGATAATTTTTGGGGCTCGTAAATTTCCTTCACGCTCAAATGTGCTGTAATTTGATCGGCTGAATTTATTCCCTCCAGTTATGTAATACGTTTTATTCCTCCGGTCGGCCAATTACTTTGCAATGCAGAACATTTGCGGCCGCGCATCGCAACACCTGCCGGCCGAAAAAGTTCTTTTGTTTCGCGAAACGATGCTAAAAATTTTATATCTCTCGCGGCGGCCGGCGTGCAGCACTCGGCATTTTTAATGATAATAATTATTATTACCGCTGCGGAGCGCGGCTGTGTTAATTCGCGGCGAAAAATTTACGATAGGCCGGTAAAAACGCTCAGGAGCCGCGCAGCATCTCGAGATGTATTTATTGCCGCGGCCGGCACAAAAAAAACGCACTTAACGGCCGGCGAATTTTTCGTAGCAATCGTAAAATTCATCGCGTAATTACCGACATTAATTACTCGCGGCGGCGCGTCGCGCTCGGACAAGGCAGAAATATTTTTACTATCCTATTTTTTACTCGGGTCGTGAATTTGTTTTCTTATTTTTATTTTCGATACAACATAGGAGTCGAAAAGTGTCCGGGTTCTGCTTTCCCACGCGGAAGAATGCCAGAAATCATCACGTTTTCCAATCATGACGAGCAGAGCTATGGTGGAACAAAGGGGAAAAATTTACATCATCATCATCCTCATCACACGGCCTTTTATGTACATTCGCGGCAGCAGAACACAAATGCATACCGAGAGCGAAATTAATAAATATCGAACCCTTTGTTGGCACAACCAAGGCTACCGCGCACTCTCTCCCGCCGATTTTTCATAAACAAATGCGACAGCAAATATTTAACTTCATTATTTGTTTCAATAATAAATTTGGTTATTTTTATTTATTTGCAATACTTCTATAGCATAAAATAGTTCTTTATTTCCATAATTTGATTCTAAAATCAAATGATAACATGAATTTTCAAAGAATTTCGTTGCAAATTATATTTTTTTTTATTAACTATAAAACAAATTTAAAATTTTTCACAAAATCATTCACTATGAACAATTTTGTGAGAAAAATTATAAAAAATAACATTAAATAATTATTATTATGAAAATTTTATTTCAATATACTATCATTTTCATCATAAGAATTATTATATGTATTGAATCTCTGATAATTAATTACTTAAACGCGATCTTGTCTACTAGCCTCTTAACAATTTATCAAATTTTCACATATTTAATGCATTTTATGTTGCCTAGAAAAGTTTATAATTTCTTTGATATTATGAAAAATTAAAGTTATGTAATAATATTACTTTAAAACTTAACTTGTAAGCATAAAAAAAGAAAAGTTAATAAATTTTAAATAATTCAAATTTAATATAATTAAATAATCTAAATTAAATAAAAATATCCAATCATAAACATTTAAAATTTATTAATGTATAATTTTTTTACTTTAAAACTTTTAAATCTAATAAGGCATGAGTCTGTGATGACATCAGCCTTAAAAAACAATGCCTGGCTCTTTTTCACTATTCTCGATCCTGACAATCGGATTCTTTTGGAAATCATTTGTTGTGACTTTCGGCTCACGAAAGTCTCTCTGGGAACAAAGCGGGGGTTGCACGCATGCAGGGGTAAGAGAGGCGAATGCGCCGAGTCATCATATTTCTGTAAGATCTCATCCGCGTTATTGTTTTCTCCATCAATTCGAGGTATCGACAATGCTGTAGGGCAGAAATTGTTCGTTAGCTTCGTTAGAGGAGGAGAGTGGAAGGATCGAGTCTACACGTTTTCGGGCCCTGATTAGATTCTTTTCTTCTGCCGGGCTTGGAATAAAAAAAAGCAACAACAAAACACAACCGCGCGCTCTCTTCATGGGAATGATGCGCGAGAGGGCCATCAAAAGATAAGAACAATAAGCCTTTTGTGCTCCCAATACATCCAGAGAGAGAGACTCTGTTTTATTATTCTCACTTTTAATTAAAATCTCAATCGCACACTTTTTGGTGGAGATGCTGGAATTCCCCTTAGGACTTTTGGGCGCATTCTTCTCAAATTGTATATAAACTCTACAGCTCTATCAACGCGAAATCTCTTTTTAAATATAGAGACTTTTGCTGTTTTACAATCCCTTTTGGCCTTTAAAGAAAAACAATAATAAAATGCCGTTAGGATTTTTCAGGAGAATCTTGTATTTGATTTATTTTTGGTAATTTACAAGAGCAATTGGACATTTTTGAAAGAAATGTTGTTTTAATTTTCTCCCAAGTTCACTCAAGCAGCTTTTAAGACTTTGTCACAACTAAACATTTTTGTGTCTTTTCTGAAAACGTCAGATTTTTTTATTTTAATTTTTTTTTTTACAATTTTAACTTTCTAAATCAAAATGTATTTAATTTTGTATTATTTTAAAAATCATGAAGAAAAAGACTCCCCAAAAATTATATGACTGATTTTCTTCTTTGCTCAAAAAATTATTTTCTATTGTTTAATTATTTAAAAACAAATTTTCCACCATCCCAAAAATTGCGTAAAATAATCCTAAGCTATTTTTATTTGTTTATTGTTTTTAGTTATTGGAAAAGGTTGGTGGCCTCAACGCACAGTTCCGATTCCACGCTGGCAACTCGTGCAAATCTTTCCGCACGTTCTCGTTCTTCTCTCCCAAGAGGAAAAACGCGCCGCGAGAACAATTATTGCTCTCGGTGCAATTGCGTGTCACGCGAGAGAGCCGCGCTATGCAATAATCTCATTCTTGGTGTGTTTGGCCATAAAATCGGGGCCCAAATTACCAAAGTCTCTTCTTACGGGTGGCCTCTGCGGTTTGGGAGGAAAATTGCTCTTTCTCGAGAGAGCGACCAGTGATGTGATCTAATGGGGAGCACTTAAAAAGGAATCAAGCTAGAGAAGAGAACTCGCATAACTCGGCAGCAACTTTCTTCAATTTGTTCCGACGGCTCCTGAACAACAACAACAACGATGAAGACGCCACCGTGGGAGACGTAATTTTGCTCTCTAATGAAGGAGATCAAATCAGGTCAGATAAAATGACTGATAAAATATTTTAATTAAATTTTGTCACACGAAAAAAATTTGATTCAAAATAAATTGAATTTCAAAGCAGAGAAAATTTTATTACTGAAATCAATATTGAAATTTTTAGGGGTTAACCAAAGATTTACCTTTTCCCGCCAAAATCATTAGAATTATTAAAATTTAATTTCTTGTCGCTAATTTTCTGGTCCAATTTAGTGATTCAGCAAAATCAATTTAAATTAGCAATACTTGAATACTTTAGGCGGGAAAAAAGTAAACCTTCGATCAGTAATGAAATTTTAGGTTTTTTTTAAATCAAGAATAAAATAATCATATTAAAGTTCCTTAGAGAATAAAAAAAATAAGAATTTGTGTCTTTTGATTTAAAAAGTTTTCCTTGAATAATATTTTTTACTACATAAAAATGAAATCACGTGGCACTGAGAGGCTCTTTAGATTGTACTTGGATAGCAATTTCAAAGCAATAAAAAGGCGACGTGCTGATGTTGTTCTGTAACGAGATACGTCATTTTTCAAGGGCTCGACGAGCGACCGGCGATGACACTCGGTGGTACATCTCGTAAATAATATTATTTTTTTTTTAAACTTGGTGTGAGGTTAAGGCGAATCAGGAGTTATTTTGGCCGCCGGTTGGAATTTGGTCGAAATCAGTAGTCGTTTAACGTCCATTAATGTGGCGCCACCGTGTTTTTCTTTTTTTAAGGATAACTGCAATTGGCACGGATCAAGCTTGTGCCGCGATGGCCAATTCGCTGACAAATAATGACGCTTTGTTCTCCAGCTATAGTATTTGTCCAAAGAAAGAAAAGCTTTTATTCGCTTATTTACTCGACTGCTTGCGCAGGAATACAGAAAAAAAATAAATATAAAAGTCGCGTTTTATTGTCGCCGCGGTCGTTTCGAGTCCGGTTCAAAGACGACGACAACTCTTTCTTTTCTGCGCGTGCAAGAACATATATAATTCCGAGAGAGGAGCGAGCGACAAAATGCATTCTGTGCGGCTTTGACGAGGTAATATTGGTACCAATCATGGCGCTGGTGCAACTCAACAAACTCTCACACGACATACATTCACTCGCAATCAAATCAATGGCAACAGAGGAAAAAATCACAAGTAAAAACGCTCAGTTTGTTATAATTTGAATTTCAAAGTACTGAAATTTGTCAATATTTTTAAGTTTTACCATTTATTTTTATTTTCTATTATTAATTTAAGAGGAATAAGTTCAAAATGTTCTCATTTGCTTTTTTCAATAAATTTTTTTATGCAATTCTGATTAAATAATTTTCATAACAACAGATTTTATGGAAAAATTTCAGTTAAGTAAGTTTGAAAATTTTCAAAATTTAATAAATATTATTTTTTCTTCATGACTTTCATAAGATATTTTAATTTGAATAAACTTTTAACTTTTTCTGACTTTTTCAATGTCTTAAAATATTTTGCTATTTGTTAAATTTAGACTTTATTGACAACAAAAATTGACCTATTTCAGTTCATTATTATAATTTTTTTCAAAATATAAGTTATGAGAAATATTTTGCAATTTTCAATATATCAACAAACTGAGGGTTTTCATTCCAAAATATCATTTTATTTTGTTCTCGAAACTCACTTTTCCCTTTGAGAAACTCTGAGCCGCCGCTCTCCGCACTGACGGAGACCTGCGGCGCCTGCTGGTGCGGGGGGCTGGGGGCGGCATTCGGGGTGAGGTGGTTGGTGTTCTGGGTGCCGCTGTTGTTGTGGTGGTTGCTCCTCTTGGCTAGGACTGGCGAGCAGCACGCCGAAATGACTAGAAGCAGCAGACAGTGCGACGCGCTCGGCGCCCGCCATCGGACAGTCATGACCCGCCACCGCCTCCGGTCGGAGGCAGGGCTCGGGGGTGGGCAGCAGGTCCGCTCGTCAGCAGCCATGCGCCACGGGTTGCGTGCGCGTGCTCCTGTGCAGGGGCGCCGCGCCTCCCATATTCAACCTTCTCCGCCTGAAACAAACACAAAAGAAATTTAAAAATCAGTTCGAAATAAAAAATATTTAGATAAATTAAATATAAAACTTGATTTATAGGGAATGTGGATGGGATTTTCCTTCTTTTATTTATTTCTTATAATTTAAAACTGCCTTTTTCTCCTCGTGAGATTCGATTTTTAATTTAAAATTAATAAAGAAATTTTTTATTAAAAATTAAATATTTACAATTTGATGTTTTTTATTCACATCTTCTCAGAATTGCAGATTTTCACCTTTTGTTACATATTTTTTTCACGCTGATTTTCCTGCTCGGATCCACACGTTTTATGACCCCTACGCAGGTAGCGGATTTTTAATGCCTGACGGCGAGATACCCTTTCGCTATTGTGCGGTAATTTCCTTGAAAATCGGCCCATCCGAAGGCGCGCGTATAACAAGAGGGGAAAACAATCTGACGATTGATTTTACACGGCCGTCACAGCGATTGGGGAAGAAAAGGGGGCGCCCGAAAAGGGAACGATTAATTAAACTGCACCGGTAGCCGCGGTGCGTTTTTGTGATGGTAATTTGGGAGGAAATTTCGGGAAAAAAGAGCGCGCGAGTCTCGAGAGGGCCCCGATGGCGATGTAATTTCGAAGCAAAGGAATGCACGCTGCTCCTTTTGTTCACGCCTTAAGGTCAGAGATAATTATTAATGACATAGCTGCGGAGCTTAATTAAAGGAATAATATAATTTCTTTGGGAGCCGCCGAGGGATTAGAGACCGGCCACTGAACGAGAGAACAGATCTTTTTAATTTTCAAATTAATAACTGCGCGAGTGAGAAAGAGAGAGAAGTAAAAAATTATACCAAGGTTTTCCGTGCCCCCCCACGGAGATTTTCTTGTCTCTGGAGTGTTAATTTTTTCGGCTCACAGAGTTTTTCTTGGTTTCAAACGATTGTTTTATCGGTGATGAAATCGGCAACTGACATAAAATAATTCAGCAATTACTATTATTTAATTCAATTAATTAATGACTGTATAAAAAGACAGTTGCAGTTAACTTTTAAAGAGCAATTATCAGTTTTTCGTTTTAAATATGAATTTTTGAGGTTTTAAACTAATATTTTTTAAATTAATAAGTCTTATTGTTTTTAATTCTAATATAATTTTAGTTCAATGATGAAGTGAAGAAAGTTGCAGTGGTTCAGATATTTTAGTTGATATTTTATCATTCAACAGGCGCTCCCTGTTTTTTTTTTATCTGAGCAAGGCGTAAAAATCGATTTTAATTATAACACGTGCACTCACATTTGGAGCCAGGTCCACTCACAGCAGGGCCAAGTGGCGTTAGTTATGTGTAAGTGTGATGCGCTCGCCAAGCCGAGTGTTGTATTTTTTTATTCTAATAAAAGGGAGGCGTGCGTAGGGGGCGTTGCTGCTGTCAGATAAAGGCAACCTTCATCACGGCCGCGCTCTCCTCAGGGGATGCTGCGTCTTTTGTGAGAGGCGCCGAGAAAAGAGCATAGGCATACTTTTCTCGGATTTTCGGCGCTTATATAGAAATAAGTCTGGGAACGAATAATATATATTGTGCCGTGTGGTTTTGTATGCTAATGAGAAAGAACGACTCACTAATTCCTCAATAACGAGAGAGACGTGCAGCGCGCACATGACCATATTCGTGGAACGATTTTCATAATCTGCGAGAAAAAGACGCATATTGAAACATTTTTGGGCCGAGTACTTCAAGTCGCAGGCCGCTAGGGTTTGGAATAGTTTTACTCATTCTGAAGTCTCAAATTGTCAGGAACATTTCGATATTATTGAAAAAAAATCCAATCTTCTTTGAAAATTTCAATGAAATTTCAGAAGTGAAAGTTTTTGATTAAAATTTCATGGCTCTCGATTAGAAGAAAAAATAAATAAATGTAAACAATTTTTTCCAAAAACTAAAAATTGATTTTCTTTTCAGAATTTCAAAGTCTGATGGAATGTTATGAAAAATATTTTTCTTGATATCAAAAATTAAATTGATTTTTTGTTTCTTGCATCCCTTTATAGTTTTGCCTGGAAGGTTTTCTCATTTTCTTAAGCAATTATCTGCAGCAATGGATCTCGTCTGGACCAGCACACACAATGTAAGAGGATTAATCTGCGATCTGCCTGTGTGTGCGTTATACTCCAAATAAATTACAGCCGCCAGCCGATCAAGATGTTGCACGGAGCTATTAGCTAATGCCTCTCGCATCTCGGCCCACCTACGCACCCGCGGCGTAATAATAGGTTTCCGAATAATGTGCCCAATCCATATTTGCGTTTCCCTAATGCATTTTAAATTCGCTTTTAATTCTGCGCTGCGATTTTTTTTCAGCCGCTCTTTTTAATTAAGACGGGCATTAATCAGCTGCGAGCAACGATTTCGAAGAGAGATGCTCCCGTGGAACGAATCTGGTCATCAGAGCTAGCGAGAGAGTTATTAACCGTGATTCATCGCCGTAATAATTCACGTTTAACAAAAGGTGTAATTTACACGCAAGTGGACACAAAGCCAGTCTCTGATTTCTGACCGCAGACAAAAAAGCAGAGGCGGCGCGGCATCTTGAGAGAATATTCATTTTTACATAAATATATTCCATCCATATATCGACGAAGAGAGAAGAATGCCATAAATTTTCAGCTCAGGAAAATCGTCAGCTTGTTTTTATTTTTTTCACTCCGTCGCCAGGTGAGTGTTTGGCGCCAGTCTGCGTTTTTGGGGAAAAACAAAATTTCGGAGAGCCGCGAAAAGTGGCTCGAGGGGGCAAAAGCTTTGTTTCCCTCCTGTCGTAAATTGATTTTAGCTGCAGACCGAGCAGCGAGGCATTGTGGGACGCCATCAGTGAAATATTACATGACAACCCTCCTCGCCTGTGGTACCTGATGCACTCCTATTTGAAAAATGCACCCCTGCTGATTTCCAAAGAAAAGACTCTCTTGTAAGGCATTTTCGAGAGAAGAATTCCTCCTAACTAAGCGGCTGCGTGGCTGGAAACTTTTTATTTTTCATCGTCCATAGCATTATAAAATAAAATATACGATTTTCATTAATGATGACTGCGAGGAATGTCGGTTTGTTTCCATCCCCTGTGCTTGAGTTCGCAGCTTTTATTGTAAAAACAATGGCTCACGATCCATAAAACGATATCGCTCGCAGTAAAATCAACATTCCTGCCTCAAATTCCGCTCATTAAAATCCCTCTCTAGGCCCTGCGATGACGATCATAATAATTCGAGTGCGATATTACATTATTTTTATTCGGAATATTAAATGAGTCCCGGCTTGCGCCGCGAGCACCACAAGGCGGCGGTTTGTACAATAAAAACAACGATCGCTTTATGGCTGCTGCATGTCTGCACTATCATCACCGAGCCTCAAAACCGTCCAAATTATATATACAGACAAAATTCGATCGTAATTTGCCTCGGTTCCCAATGCGAGAGAGCTAAATCAAAAGAGGCCCATTTAAGGAAATATAACGTTCAAATCGTTTAACATGACAAAAGAAATAAGATTTTCAAATTTTAAAAGGTAAAGAAGATTCTAAACTATAAAAATGGCGCTGATCTTCATTTTGATAAATTTAAAATAATAATCCTGCAGGTTATTTTATAATTTTCATCATTCTGGTGGAGATAATTAACTTGCCGTTGAAAGCAGGACAAGATTATTTTTTTGTTTTACGGTTGTCAAGAGGGCATCAATTTCAATTTAGTTATCTGGGGGCAGCGTCGAGATCACCCGAGTATACAAGACAGGTGACAGAGGTTCTGGTAGCGTCTGCTCGAAAACTGCCGACATGCTTCTCGACAGACCCCCTGAGCATTTTTCAACCGAAACAAAGGGTCCGATTTTACACCATTAAATCGGAGGATGATTAGGGCTCACTCCAGAGAGATCGTCGGACATTTAGAAATATTAAAAGGCGACCGCATGTGGAAAAGGAATGCAGAGAGAAGAACTCCTCGTGTCGGGACAAAGGAGACGACGAGAGCCGTAAAATAACCAATTCATCATGTGGACGAGCAGCAGGCAATTTACATGCATCATTTGTGTCAATAATTGCTTGGGAAATTATCACCTGGCTATTTTCGGCGCGTGAGAAATCTAAAATTTCCAACAATCCTGCTGACAGCCGATTTTTCACGAAAGTCGACCCGATTACGAGGAAGAAATGATTTTTTTTGAAAAAATTCGCTTGATTGATGGCTGGAGCTTTATTGAGCTTTTCCGCGGCTAATTCCCAGCCATCAAAATGATTAAATGCGTTAATTTGCATCGGCGATCGACTCCTCTCGCGCATTATCTCCGCCGGAGAATAATTTTCATTTTTTCCTCGGCCATCACCGAATCATAATTACAGGTTTGCTGCGCGCACATTCAAGTCCCTTTCGGGAGAGTGCGGTGCCTTTGCGCGCACTATAATGGTGCAGCCTAATGATAGAGCAGAGGCAGGCTAAAAGTGTGGCTGCTGGCACCTCTCAAGCTAGTCACTTCACCTCTCAGGTCGGCTCTGAACTCCGAACAGCCTCCCCTGCTGCGGTTCTTAATTAATAAAGCAACTATGGCGAAAAATATATCCCTCGGAACGAATTCCTCATAAAAAGGGGGCTGGAAACCGATTTATTATTTGTGCGCTTCAAAAAGTGACAGGACAGAGGTTTTGAAATGTGGATGGAAAGAAAATGTGTATAATTGTTTTTTACAAAAAAATTATATTTCTTGTGGAATTCTGACTCTAAGTTTCAACTTATTATTAAAAAATCTCCCTAGATAATTATTTTTACTATTTATTTTTGTGAAAAATTATGATTTAATTGTTTTATTACAAAAAAATAAATTCATTTTGAATTTCTGACACTAATAATTAAAAAATGTCTGTCCCGAGATAATTATTTTTTACATTTCTCTTTGTGAAAAATTTTGATTTTTTTGCATTAGTTATCAAATTTAGTAATTAGCTTTTGTTGTTTTAGATTAAAAATTGGGAAA